TCTCTGTATTTTGGTTAATTGTATGTTTGTATGTTTCTATGCTTCAGACGAGAATGTTCTAATTTCTCTGTATTTAATGTATCTCATGAGGAATTTGATTAATTAATTAAAAACTAATATTACTGTTATGTTAATGCTCAACTCTCACTTTTCTCATGTGTTAATAAACCAGTTCATGGTGTAACTCTCACTTTTCTGAAATCATAATTGATGAACCCTAAAGTTGCAATCTTTACCAAAATGATATGTTTTGGGAAAACGATTAGATTTTTTTGTTGATTTCCAAAGAGGGTGAGACCCATTTGTGTTATGTTAATCTCATTGTTGATGGATCTTTAGAAGAGATAAACCATCTGACCATTGTTCTTGTTTTCAACTACTTTGTTATATTCAAAAGGAAATTAATGAGGTTGATTGTTTGTATCTTGCTGCTAAAATGGAAGAAACCCATGTTCCACTTATTTTATATTTTCAAGCGTTTTTTATTTGAGATGAAGTCTAAGTGTTTGTTGAAATGCCCCTTTGTTTTGTTTTTTTTTTTTTTTTTGGTCTTTATGGTTTGTTGAAATGATGTTTGCACCGGGAGTTTATGTAGTTTTTTGAGTGATGAAATAAAAACTATGCATATGCTACTTTCCTTTGCACAAGTGGGATAAAAACACCAAAATATGTATCAGAGAAGAAAACACGAACAAGGTAGAAAAGTTGGTACTGCCACTGAAGTTGTTAATGGTGTTTCAAGTTGTGATGTTTTTTAGATTAAACACAGTTGTAAGATGATTTCATGTAAATAAATAACCAACAAGATACATATAAAAAGTGTAGTTCAGTTGGTTGAATTTCCCATACATAACACCAAGGTGATATTGATGTTGAGAATGAGTCATGAATTAGACGGAATGAGTCGTATATTAGAAATGATCAATATGAGAATCTTATAGCGGATGAATCATATAGTAGAAATGATCATAATGAGGAAATTTGGATCAACCCATCCGTCCGCGTTGTTAAGAAACAAGTAATTCATGTTCCAACCAAGAAAAGAAAGAGATGTTAGTGAAATAGGTAATATAGTAAAATGTTATATATTCTGTCATTTTCAATAAATTTTTATGTTCTTTCATTCAATAAAATTAAATATATGTCATTTTACATATATTCAATTGATATGGAATTTGATATTTGGTTTATATTTTTCTTTATTACAGGTTAGATGGCTAGTAACGAGGATCACCCACATGACGATTCTGACAAGTTGATGCGCCCGCATGGATTGGAACAAATATTTGCTTTCTTATAACCCATGAATATAAACACGTGGTCAATCGTATAAAAATCAGATGATATCATGGCGTATGTACTCCTTTTATTTATGGCCAACAAAGATACATAAAAGTTATACTTTTTACCATATAATACTGGCAACGAGTTATATTTTCATTCTAACTTCATCTATTATAAATTTTCGTTTTTTGACGTTGTATAGAAAGTTTCCATCTAACCTTTGTTTAATCTTACAGTGGACATTGGTTGTTGGTCATGATTAATCCGATAAGAGAAATTGTATATTATCTGGATTCTTTACACAATGATCAAACAACATATCTAGATATGAAGAAGTTGGTTGATACGTAAGTGAGATTGTTCTAAATATTCATGTGTATATTTATTTACTTATGTGACATGTTCTAAATATCTGTTTATATTTTATTAGCGTTATACAAGTTTTTCGATCACAACGAGATATTCAAGTCCCAAAGAGCAAAACCAACAACATTACATGGATTAGAATGTGGGTATATTTTTACAATTTTTAATATATTAGTGATGATACTTGATAAAACTAGTTAAGGGGTATATCCTGATATATATCCGTGTGTAGTGCCCTCGTCAGCATAATGGGATAAATTGCGGATATTTCATGTTGAGGTTTATGAAAGAAATTCTTCTTTTGGATCGAATAGAGATTCCATCCAAGGTATGGATTTCTAACTTAGGAATTATTTTAATATTTAACACATATTTCTCACATAATTAAATATTTTTAACTAAATCATACTATGTTATATTATTATGTAGTACTTTGATGTATTCAAGTGTGCTAATTACTCAAAAGATCAATTGGATTAACCTAAGGAAGATTGGTGTCGATTCATTATTGAGCTGAGAATTTTATAAGGTATATTGTCTTTTTTTCATTGATGAGAATTTTGTGTATATATAATTTTGAGTTTTGATGAGATAATATGTCGTCATTAGTATAGTACATTGTGTTGCAATGTTATTGTTGTTTGTTATAGAAGGTTGGAATCATAAATTGTGTTGGTGCTGCCAAATATTGATAAATGTCTTGGCCATAGAAGGTTTGAATCATATATTTATTTTCATAGGCACTTGACAATATTCAATAACTCATGTTCATTTGTTTACATTTTTGGGAAATGCTTGCAGCTTGATTAGCACATTTGGCAATGCTTGCAGCTTGAATATCAGATAACAACAATGCCTTCTTTGTTTTCTTCTATATTTTATATAAGGTTGTTGTTTTTTTTGTTTCAGGTTATATGTGCAGATGTAGAAGATAAAGCTAACAAGTTCATTGTTGTTTTTTTTAGCTTGAATATGATATTTTTTGTAGTTAACAAGATATATGAATTTTCCAGTTGTATCATCAATTTTTTTTATATATAAATTATTGGATTAAAGATGTATATATAAATAGGAAAATTTGGTGCATCTTTGTTGGATTGAATCTCTAATTTATGAAAATTTGCTGCAAATTCTAAATGCATATTCTGGTGAAAAATGTGGTGAAAATCTGGTGCATATTTATTGTATATATCAGACAACGCTTTTTTTAAGATTTATATATAAAAAAGTTTATGGACATTAGACAGCGCTTCAAATAAAAAGCACTGCTTAAAGTAGGCAATAGACAGCGCTTTGAAGGAAAAACACTGTCCAAAGCGTTGCCAAAATCGTTGTCTAAAGTGAAAGTGCTGCCTTAAAGGGGGATTTAGACAGCGCTTTTACAGTGCTGTCTAAAGTGCTGCCTAAAAGATAACCAAAAGCGTTGTCTAAAGTGAAAGCGCTGCCTAAAAGGGGGCTTTGGACATCGCTTTGGGGGGCTTTAGACAATGCTTTTATAGACAAAGCGTTGTCTAAAGTGATGCCTAAAAGATAACCAAAAGCGATGTCTAAAGTAAAAGCGCTGCCAAAAGTGGTGCTTTAGACAATCCTTTCTCATTTAACCAAAGTGTTGGCTTTACTTATAGCAACGCTGGAATAGGCAGCGCTTTTAAGCGTTGTCTAAGCCCAAAAAAAACGCTGTCTAATCCCTTCTTTGGCATAGTGTGTTAATATTTGTTTAAGATGAGTTTATTATATCTTATTGAGTTTGAGTGTTTTTCCAACACCTTACCGAATATATACCTTTTCAGATTGCATTAGAAAATTGAAATATGATGGATAAATGTATATTAGAAAACAAGTGACATGTTTAATTCTAGACAAGAATTATTCATACCATTATATGTATTTTTCTCTTTAACAATTAGGACTTGGTGAAACGCTTCTTGTTCTTCAACCTCGACCCCTTCATTCACCTCTAATTTAGTTTGTAAAGTAAATAATATATTGCGAAATTAAATAGAGGTGAAGCAAGGGGGTTAAAGATCTAGGAGAGTTAAACCAAGTTCTAACAGGTAAAGAGAAAAATGCGATAAAGGAGTTGAAGAATTCTTGTTTAGAATTGAACATGAAACTTGTTCTTCAAATATAACTTAATTTGTCATTATAATGTTCTAGATCGAATTGAAAGATTATATGTTTAATGAGCATTTCCGAAATAAGCATTACATATAATTTATAATAAACTCATTGTATATATCACATCGTACTATGCCTTATAAATAAAGTAATAAGGTGGTGTACTATTAACACAAATAGAAGATTCAGCCTAAACAAAATAATATCACTAAAGCTCATGATCTTTAAGACATGGAAAGAGTCCTATATATAGAAATCAATTCTGGGATTTTCTCTTTTGGATATTTGATTTGATATCATCCATAAATAGTGGAGGTTCGGTTAATATTTGTTTCTACAAGACATCTCCATTAAAAAGATATGATTTGATTGGAATTCAAATTTAAATCTCTGCGATTTAAATTTAACCAAACTAAATAATCAACCAAATCATATTGTTAAAAGATAGCGACAACGCTTATTGCACAAGTAACAGAAATGCGCTCCCAATAACTAAGAAACGTGCGCACACAACAACAGCCTTGTCTTGTAGACATGTGACATATGATGTACGCATGCTAAGACATTTGTTCCCACATGTGACATGCTTCATAGAAATTAACTTGAACAAACATTAATAATATTATATAATAAAATGAAATTAATTATTATTTTTAAAATGTGACGTGGAAAATAATTTATGTCGTGTCACCACATATGTAGTGTCATGTCATGTCCACGTCAAAAGTTGAAATACCGACTAGACAAATTTGAAGGGGGACAAAAAACTCAGAAAATAACAACTAAAGAGACTAAAAAGCTGATTTATTTATAAAAAAGACTAAAAAATTTAAAAATATTAAAATAGAAAGATCAAAAGTGTATTTAACCTAAATTTTTATAGGAAAAATGGTATGTGATCACTTTGATTTAAACTTGTAATTTTATATAAAATGTCACGTCAATCTAACAACTAGAATGTAACAATGAGGATTAATGCTAAAGTTAATTTGGATTTAGCTATATATATTAATTTATTTTTTATCAATAAATTCCTTTTGATTAATTGAATAATAAATGCTATTAAAAACTTAAATTTTTTAATAACTGTAAAGTATTTTATATATTTAAAAGTTAAAAAAGTTTTATATCTTTTATATATAACATTATATTAATGCATGAATGCAAATTAATTTTTTGGCTATAAAAATGCTCACACCTACTCTTATTTTAAAACATTATTCATTTTCAAAATGGCTAGGGCAACTGGACTACTTTCACTATTTTCCACCAGCATGGTGATCATGATCATCCTATTCTTAGGTAAGTTGAATTTCTTTATATTATTTTCTAATTATTATTGACTCTTAAGAGTACATCTTATTGATTAGGAAGAGAAATCAATAAAATAAATTTAACTTTGGTGAACAGGTTTTGAGAAAGCTATTGGTGAGAATGTTAAAATAGATATTGCTAAATATCCAACAAGAAGTTCTTGGATGCCATTGAATTATCATCTTACCCAGATGTTGAAACCATGTACTGACAATTTTATTGGAGCATGTGTTCCTGGTAAAGATGATGCTTCTTGTCGTAGTATTTGCAAACAATCCGGCGATGGAAAAGGAGGTTTTTGCAAAACTCTTAAATACAAAGATCCACCACCCCATAACTTCTGTCATTGCTGTTGTTAGATTTGAATTTTGTACCAATAAATAGATATTCCTACAAGTATTGCAATTATCTATGTAGAATGTTTTATTTATATTATAGAATAATATATTTTAAATTTGCATTGTTAACATTTTAACATTTTATATTTGATTTTGTGCTTAATTTATAATTTATTTTTATTTGTTCATAGTTTGATAAATGATATTTTTCAATTAAAGTATTTCATAGTGTGATTCCTAATACATTTATAGCTTAAGTTACACATATTGATTGAATTTTGCAGACTAAAACAGTACAAGAAAATTATTTTATAGTGACAAAAATAATATATTGGTAAAGGAGTAAAAATCAGGGTATAGCACAAAAAGTCATTTTTCATTTCCTATACAACCAATTAGTTTAGAATCTCAATAGCCAATATACACACTACTACTGATATATTCATTTTACCTTGGACGCGAACGATATTTTACATCGATTACAAAGACGATGTGTAATACGGTGGGAGAACTGACTTTTGGTTTTGCATTTTACCGCAAATGTTTCGGATAGCAAGAGTCACCATCGACTTTTCTTTTATCCAATAAAGGAAAGGGTGAAAAGAACAGGAAAGACCTTTGATAATTTTCTGAGTTTGGGAGGTAGGTTATGAAAAAGGAAGGTGTTAACACCCTTTTTATCCGTAGTTATCTACGGGCTCGTAATTTCTAGCTCTCTTTAAAAATGCTCTGTGTTTGTGTATGTTTGCAAATATTTTGAAAATGCCTAAGTGCGGCAATTTTTTAATGATTCTCGTATCATTGAGAATGTATACAAAATATTTGTTTCGAAAATATTTATTGGGAGAAAGTGTTGTTTTATGGAAAGATGTTTTGAATATGCCAATTTATGGCAATTTGCTTTATAATAACCCTTGTATCAGTACTCAAGAGTGTTTATAAAGCCTTTTGAAAGTAGTTGTTTTGGAAATGTGAGGTGTGAAGATTGTTTTAGTTTGTGAGCAAGCGGTTACGAGCGATCTACCTACTCAAAAATTCTTTGTTCTTTTCCTCCTCCTTTAGATAGCACTATCCTACCATTAGTTAGTAGGAATCCCTATTATTGAATGTGAGGGACAAGCGCGGGTCATTATACAGTCCTAGAAGGAAACTTGTAGGATGCTTTAGCAATTGTCGTAAGGGACTAAGATCGTTTACCGAAGGCGGCATCGAAGGGTCATCGAGGGACTACGATCTTCTAACTGAGGGTCTTTGCTAAAGCAGTCCACGTTCGAGGGACATGATTGTTTTTATCCGAGGCAACAAGTGAGGGTAACCCTAGAGGTGTGTGTGTGTGTGTGTGTGTGTGTGCAAAGTGAGGGTAACCCTAGAGGGGGGGGTGTATGTGCAAAGTATTTTGATTTCAGTTATTTTTGTCTTGAAATTAGAGTTTTGCTATCGGTTAATTTTAATCTTGTCATACAAACCCTAATTACTAACAGTAATAAGGAAAGCAGTCAGTTGTGGAAATTAAATGTCATACGCTATTACAATGCTTCGGGAGTGGGGAGTACATATTTATGAATGGGGATGAAAAATAGTAAACCCTAATTAAAGCTATTATAGACCATTGATCATTATAATAATTGAGAAATAAAGTACGTGAAGATTTGTAAAATAAAGAAAAGAGAGAAGAAATTATTTTGTGATTTTTTGATGGATAAAGTTTGATGATTAACCTAATTATTTGATTAATTTTTATTAACAAAAGTTTAGTAAAAACCTAAAGAAACTAAAATTAAATTTAATAATAAATAATAAAAAAAGGCCAATTAATTTAATTAATTAAAAAGAAAGCTAATTTAGTTAACTTAATAAAAAAAGAAGTCTAAATTAATTTTAATTTTAGAAAAAGAAACTAATTGTTAGAAAATAATTTTGATGTTTTATTTAGAAAAAATATATGAAGTATAAAACTTAATTCTAATTAAATAAAATCAAAGTGATTAAATTAAATTAATTTTTATTTGTCAAAAATTAAATTAATTAATCAAAAAACCTAAATCTAATATTTTTATGATTTTTTTCTGATTTTAAATATAAAAAATTTAAAATAAAAGAAAATAGTTAATTAAAAAAAACAACAAAAAGAATTTTAATGGGCCTGAGTTGTAAAAGCAATTTGGGAGTGAGAAGAAGCAAAAAATGTTAGGCCCATAATAGATAAGCCCATGCGCCTGTTTGAGATCCAGCGTGTTGCTTCAAGTAGGTCCATCGTGGGCATGCAAGCTCTAGCGCGTTGACCTGGATGTTTGAGTGATCCAAGGGTTGTGGGATGAAGATGCATGGTATGCGCGCTGGACCTATTCCCACTGAATCTGAAAGAAATAAATATGTGAAAAATAAAAGGATATTGTTGGGGCTCAAACCTAGGTCTTCATAGTAACACGAGCGCTTGTTTTACCACTGGGGTGGATGTTTCATCCGGCTATGAAACGCCTCCCAGTAAATATATTATAAACTTGTTTTCAAAAATGGAACTTCATCTTCTTCCTCGTGCGTGTTTGACAGTAACAACAATAACATTTTGAAATTTTGTAAAAGCTTCATTTCTCAACCAAATTTAAAGATGTAAACATCAAACTTGCTTGATTTTTTACCACGAATTCAACCATGTAACTTTTGAAAGCTATAAGTTAAAGGCTGAAATGAATTTTTCTTGGTACCCAACTGAAACCTAATATTTCAGAAACTTCAATTCCAAAATTCTCATCACATTCTCAACATAAATGAAAACTAAGGACATGGTTAGCTTCAGGGCAATCATATCTACATTTTATCTTTTGAAATTGAAAGCAAATGATGTGTGTATAAGGATTTAAAAGTTGGAGAAACTTACCTCTTGAAGTGAAAACTCAGAATGCGTATGGAGGCTTCCAGGTGCAAGTAAATGATTGATTAAGCTTTCTTGGACCTCCCTGAAGCTATTCCAATCCTTACTTTATTCTGAAAATTGCTGAAATACTCTAGCCAAGTCAAGTTGCAAGTCATGGTTTTGGAGTTTGGAGGATGGTGATGATGATGTTACAGAAGTGTAACAAGTATATCAATGAGTTATATATGATGTGTAGATGATGTTTGAATGATAAAAAGAGAAAACGCACGAGTGGATTGAGAGTTAGGTGTTGGAAGCTTCAAATGTGAAAAATGGTGGTTTCTTAGTGATTCTAAGTTTGAGAGAATTTGAGGGTGCTCGAGGGCTTGTGAAATCGTGTATTGGCTTGAAAATGGCATCTCTATTTATAAGCAAAAGGTTTGAGGAGCTTTAGTAACCAGGTTTGCTAGATAACAAGTTATGGCTTGGTTGGATGTAACTTGTGATTTCTTGAGAAATAAAAAGTTCCAATGCATAGTACCATGGCTCATAGAGTGGTTAAGAATTGTAGACATGTTTCTTATTTCTTTGACAATGTGTGTGCAAAATAAACAGTTGAGAGACTCAAGGAGAGTAGACTTTGCATAAAGCATGCTTTTCCAAAATGGAAGTGTTAACTTTGTGCCATTAATGAAAACTTGTTTTGGATAATGGCTTGAACACTTGGATAATAGCTTAAGCAAATGTAATCTTTTTTTAGGGAGATATTTGTGGGTTTAGAGGCCTGCAAAGATAGATCTCTAAGGCATGTTTGCAGATTTGATCTTATGTTCATCACAAAAAATGACCTATATTTCAAGAATGAAAGGTCAACTTTATCTCTTCGAAACATCTAGCTCAAGCATGATAAATTTGTGTTCTTGGACATTTTGGAAAGCTTGAAACATTGTCTACAACTTTCATATTGACCACTTCGGCTAATTCAAAAGCGAACTTGGCCAAGAAGTTGAGATGAAAAACAGACCAAAACTTATTGAAATATTTTCTAAGTGTTAGATAAAAATATCACAACTTCATGGACTCATATCTCTTAATCCAAGCACTTTTTGAGGATCATACCGCATAAATAAGGTTGTAGAATTCATCAATCCCTATAACTTTCACGTTGAAAGTTTAATTTGAATCAATTTGTATCTTAGTGAAAAATGACCATGAAGTAGTGATTTTGTTAAGAACAAGACACTTAAAATATTTCTAAGTGTTGGAAAATTTTCCAACTTTTGACTTTTGTTGACTTTTTTTTTATTATTGATGATCAAGTTTGATAGTTTTGAATATTTTGATGATTCTTGATTTTTGAATTCCAATGTTGACCAAAAATATTCAAAGTTTGACTTTTGTGTGAGAGTTGACTTTTCATCAATTGATTCAATTCTTCAACTATCAATCACTTGTATCTTTGGAAATGTCTTGAGCCATGTAATTAGGTAAAGATGTTGTATTTGAGCTCTTGATATCATGCCTCAATCCATTAGGTCATGCACTAGGCCAAAAGTCAATGATCAACCCTTGATCAAATGATTAATATCACCTCAAAATATTGATGTTGACAAAAAATCTTGAAGTTTGACTGTATGTTAACTTCAGTTGACTTTTTATCCAATATAGTTGATTTTCAATCATCTGACCCATTGACTGAGCAAACATGTGATGTAAGACTAGAAACTTGACATATGCATTATTGAGGACATATGATGAACCATGAAAGTAATTTGAGACCCTTTCAACCCAACCTTCTTTGAGAAGCACAAAACTCTAGTTGTAGACTCTTGCTTAGGAGGAGGTTTGACCAGTCAACTCTTAAGTAGCTTTGAATATTTGAGACCTTTTATGAGTATGTTTTTAAGAAAATGGGAGGGAAAATTTTGGGGTACAACACAAAGCAACGGAGAGTGCCATGAAAACTTACCACTTTATCCTTATGTTTTTGAATAATCGATGCGATCGGAGAAAAGGTTATTGGTTCGATCCCCAGCTACAACATTTTTTTTATTTTCAAAACTATGTATCGTGTGTCATGTAACTCTTGATTTTGGTTTATAACTGAGGAAAAATGCAAGTATTTACGTCGAATTTTGTTAATAACCAAGGCGTATAACCATTTATT